TTCGGCGGCGGCAACGAGGGCATCGTGGACGAGCTGCACGTCTACAACACGGGTGCGGGGCGGGGCCGGGCCGGGCCGGGCTGCGGGCGCTGCGGGCGGACGAGGAGAGGCGGGCGGCGCCGCCGGGTTCGTTCGTTCGTTCGTTAGTTCCTCCCATCCCTCCCTCCCTCTCTCCGCTCCCGGGCCTGCCGCTGCCGCCCGCGGCTTAAAATCCCGCCTGGAGCCGACGTGGAGGCGGTGTCGCGCTTGGCCCTCGGCCCTCCCGGCACAGCTGTGCTGAGCGGGTTAATTCGGCCTTTTGGGGGGAAAAAACAAAAAAAGCGGGTTGTGGAAAATGCGTGTCTGCCTGGTGGGTTTAACAGCCAGTTAAACAGCCTCGAGTGCTGAATCCCACCCCCTCTCTGGTGACGGCTCACGGTGTTGAGCGTGCTGGAAGATAAATCTTGGTTGGAAAAGTGAGTTTGTTGGCATGGGGGGGGGGCATTCCAAACAGGAAGCGGCCCTAGGCCAGCTGAATTCGGGAGGATTTGATGCCTAAATAGTGGTTGCTTTGGGATGATGCAGGGCCRGGAGACCTTGTGGTGTAACCTAAGTGTGTGGCTGCAGATGGGCGTGTTGGGTGCTGCTCTGCTCTTCGTTGCTGGCTTGAAGAATATAGGTTAAAATAGAACAGAATGTAGAATATAGCTTTAAAAAAAAAAAAAAAGTGATGGTGGGATGCTGACTATCCTTTTATTTTATCAGCTTTGTAAAAATAGTCAGTATTGTAGTGTATTCAAAGCCACTGCAGGAATAAAGGTGATGGAAGCACTTGCTGTGGATTTCTGAGACAAAATTCAGGAGCAAGAAAATGTTTGGGAGGTAGTTTATTCAAAGGAAAATGTCTGAGAGCTCTTCAGAGCACAGTTTTCAATGGTCGCTTAAGGTTATACTTGATTCTGTTTGAAAAAGAAAAATCTCTTCACTGCTGGGAAGAGTAATCTGTAGGGAGCTCCTAGTTAGTACCTGTGCTGTCCATTAGAACAGAGCTTCTGACAGCTGCCTTCAGGATATGACTTGCACGCTGCCAGCCCCCAATTTTTCTGCATGGGTTTTCCACTGAAAGTGTTTGCCCCTTTGCAACCGTAACAGGAGTGAGTGTGTCCCAGTTGCTGCAGTTCAGCTGAGTGCTTGGGCTCTGGGTAACGTTGGGTTCTKCAGGCTGAGATGCAGGGTTGTTACCTGGAGTGCCCACATTTGGGCGTCTGTCACTTCCATGATGAGTGTGGTGATTTTCAGTTCAAGAGCCCCTGCCACAAGGTTCATGGGATGCTTCTGATTTCATACTTTCCTTCCTCTTATTCATGGAAATAGCTTAGGAAAAAGGTGAAAATATCTACTTGAACTCTTTATTTCCAGGACAGTCTTCAACCAGAACAGCCTCCAAATGAGGCCGTCTCTGTTGCTCTCTGSTGCTGCTGTGCCTCTTCTCTTCCATGTGCCAGCACAGAGCTCTGTAGATATTAGTGTTGGTCCCAGAATAGTGTAATTAGTTTTTCAATAGGGCTGTTAAGCCCAGGCACACTGCCATGCTGCTGAAGCTGTAATAAGTTTTTTTCTAGAGCTGGCTCTTTCTGTGTTAAGCTTGCCTGTGTCTTTTATGCGCAACTGCACTTAGGCTCCTCATTAGCTGCTTTTTGGGCAATTTTATTAAAGTGCTGTATGACCCTTTGTAACTGACTGGCTTAGAGTAACCTCAGGTGCTCATTTCATACACTGGCTTGATAGAGGTRTTCAAAAATATGATTTTTCAATTGACTACTTTAATGAGTTTTTAACTCTTTGCAGTCATACACAAGTAAATGATAATTCTTTAGAAAGCAGAGAAGTTTAAAAATGCACATTTCTTTATCTGTGTTTTGATTTTTTTTTCTTCTCCCCTCCTTTCTAGCTACAAATCAGTGGTTCCTCCCTGCTGTAAGGGGAGATATTCCTCCAGGCTGTGCAGCCCATGGATTTGTTTGTGATGGTACCAGAATATTAGTTTTTGGAGGAATGGTTGAATATGGAAGATACAGTAATGACTTATATGAATTGCAGGTGGGAACTGTATAAATATATTTCTGTTTCAATGACTGTTTTGTGTGTTTTTGAACCAAGATTTTTGTCTCGAGCTGCTGTAGAAAGTTAGATGGGATTTGCTCTGTTTAAGGGAAAGTCAACTCTACATATAGATTTTGAAAGCAGAGAAAAGTTAACTAATCTTAAAAAAAAAGAAAAAAAGAAAAAAAGAGAGAGAGAGCCTTCCATCAG